CTTCCTTTCCTGATCTTCCCCCATCTTCTGCTGCCAGACATTACGTTTTCACTCACGTCATATACTACTTATAAGTAGCGCGCACCACAACATGACTCAATCCAGTTGTCAGTGTGACTTTATGGATTTGTGCCATGTTTTGGTTTGGCCGCTGCTAACTTTCTTCCAGCCCAACCCTACATCTAACCAAATGAGAAAGGTAGAAATGTATCATTAATATACATTACAGTTAATCATATACTTGGTAATCAATATTTTCATCCAACCAATAATCTATTTATGTACAGATTGTAATTTTTTCCACATATTATTGTCTCATAATCAGAAAATATGCATAGAGTTAATTAATCTAATAATTTTTTTCTCATATTCCTATTCGTCTAGTTAATAATGGTAACCTGTATGTATATCAATATGACAATTTAGTGAGCGTCATCATTAAATGGAGTGTTATTAGTATGATTAATTTTGGATTGAATACATCATTGATGTACTCTCAGTAGCTTAATAATCCTATTCAGTAGTAGATTTTAAAAATAAGAGACAAACTAGTCAGAATCAAGAATACATTATTAAAATATTACACAACATAACAATCAATATTACGGGGTTGTGAAGATTGTTAAGTTACACAACCCCGTAATGCAAATTACCTGTGCTCACTAGTGACTAGCTTCGTGAGGAATCTTCTCCGAGTTCTAGTGGGAAGACGTGACCAGTGAATTTCAACCTGTTCGGGTGTGGGCAGTGTCTACCGAAGACTGTGTATGAGGTTGCGCAACTCCGTGAATTTGATCAAGTTAGACATTAACACCTTTAGACACCGGCTCAATGGTCTAACGGTTAGGGCGTTCGCGCACAATAACGAAGGTCCTGGGTTCGAATCCTGCAGGGTGCAGGAGTCGTGGATGCGCACTGCTGAGGAGTCCCATACTAGGACGAAACGGCCGTCTAGTGCTCCCAGGTTTCTAATGGTGGTCTAACATTGGTCGATTCATAGTTTCAAAAAATGTGTAACAACAACCAGTACAAGAAATACCTTTGTATAATGTTGAAAAGGTTGAAAATGATTGTAAGAAATCGATTTTTTGTACCATAAAGTAGGGAAAGGGGTAGGCCAAAACATGGCCTAATCCTGTGAAGTCATTGACAGTTGGACTGAGCCATGTTATTAGTCGAAGACTGATTGGTTGCAGTCTGCAAGACTCTATCGCATCCAATGGTTAGAAACTTTGAAATGAAATGTCTTAGGTGCATCTATTGTTTGTCTTCTTCTGAGTTCCCCATGACCTTTTTCTCTTCTTAGTATAAATTTTACTTTTAAAACTCTTGGGTAATTCAATCACATTCCCTCGCATCACACTTTTTTTCCGAAATGTCACATAGAGGAGGGATATACGATATTGGCACAGTGTAAAGTTTAAATGCGAAATCCCAACCGAGCTAGTTGAATAGTTCAACTTTTGAGTAGTCCTTCTATGAATGTAGTTGAATCAATAAAGTGGAAACACATCAAATGCATTACCACAAATAGAGAAATATTTTTTGACGTGAATCAAACTAACTCTTATGAAATACATTGTAATCTTCCGTTGTTAATATTCCAACTTAACAGTTGACTAATATCTTTTGTCATAAGTAGATCTTGAGCGTCATGTTTCAAGTTTTAAGATGTTCATTGTATGCGTATAATAAAAGTACAAGATGGATGTTTTTGCCATTTTGGTGCTTGTCATCTGCTTGTGCCTGGATCCTAATGTTTTGATTCTCTACATGTGAAGAATCAAATCCGATATCTTTCACTTCAAACACCCAACAGGCTGTCAACTAAACCAGTGAGTTTTGCTAGCCATTGACTTATTCAACGAATACGAAGGTACTGAGTTCCAATCTCAATGGGAACATCAACAATACTAGGATGTAGGCGCACCCAACGGACTAGCCTCAAATAAAATGAAACATAAATCCTCGACCCCATTGTTAGTCGTACATAGTTTTGCCAAGTTTAAATATTATTATTATTATTATTATTATTATTATTATTATTATTATTATTATTATTATTATTATAGTTTATCTCTCCCTTCTCTTATATGTATTTCTTTTTTCTTTTATAGTTAATAGATGGTTTACATTTTCTTCATCGTAACGGTGTTATACATCGTGATATTAAACCGGCTAATTTATTGTTAACACCTGCACCAGGTTGTGGTTTAAGTGGTTTCGGTAGTCCAAATGGTACAATGGATTTACCTGATCATAATTGGTTATGTAGTACTGGGAGTCAATCAGCATTTTGTCAACGTTCATTAGCTAATATATTGGCTTTATCACGTGGTTGGTTAGTGAAATTAACCGATTTCGGTGTATCTGCATCAATTTCAGCATTTAGTACAAATGATATGGTAATTTTATTGATTTTATTTAAGTTGTGTTGTTGTTTTTACTCATCTATTTATTCTTCTTCTTTGTAAGATCTAGTCGCTTAAATTCAGTTAAGTGTGAGTCGTATTCGAACTTATGACTTGATGGTTATAAGTTGTACATCTTCACCAAACTAGTTCACGGATCAGTAGAATCTGGCACATATACACTGCTACCCTTAACTAGGTGATCGAAGTTTCCTATTGCGATGACCCAACCGAGCTACATTGGCTAATACATGTTTTCTTATAGGTCCTGTCATACCAGGTAGGAGAACAGTATGACTCAAAGCAGCTACTCAAGTTCTGAGTACGGAATCCTACTGCTGACTGTAGAGGGCTGTGATTGCAGTAAGGTGTTTCCCTTGGATAACCAGCATGTGCAGCGATACTGTCTTCTCCCAAGGAAGGAAAGGGTTGGGAAAGGTTAACCCTAAAATGTCTCACCTCACCTTACCCCATGGGTTTCCGTCTCTGATGATAAAGCCTTTTAAAGAGCAGAGCTAACACCTCAAGTACTTACTATAAAAATGTCGTGCGTGACTGGCCTCAAGCAGTTGTCCCTTTGGCTCTGTGATCACGTTGCCAAGTCACTAAGATCAATGCTAATCAGACTTCTTTTTCAGGTTCCTCAAGAACTACCCTTCACAATATGGGCAACTGGAAAGTGACATCCGCCCTCATACCTGTAACAGCACACGAGACCAAATCGGTCACAAACAAATCCTTCCTACACCTGTTAATGACTCTCTTATCTCCACGACCAACTCTTCTTTCATTCCTTTATCACCTTGCGCCGCTGATGCAAGTGATTCGAGTACACCGAACCTTATTCCTGGCCTCCTGAAATCACGCTTTAAACTACATGTTGGAGCTTCACTGTGCATTGGTTCAAGTTTACATACCTTATATTATCAACACAATGAGATGAAACTATCAAGACCAATACTAGAATGCTAGAATTAGTAATCGTATCAGTGTTAGTAGTCGAAGCGGTTAGTCATAGATAATTACGTATTATTTGGAAGGAAAAAATAAATCTTTAAGTACAAAGAGTGTATGCATTTATTCCACTGTGACCAACTTTGATCCACATCAGTCAATGTCTCCCAATCATTGTTGCTTATGATAATTCTGAGCACCCTTAACCAGTGTAATCTAACAATCATTGAATTCATGAGATATCAAGTTTTTTTTTATTTGACTACCGTCATCATCATCTTTCATCTACCTAACTCTACCTGGGGCGGCCCAACCAACACATGGCACAAATCCATGAAGTCACTGACAAGTAGACTGAGTCATGTTGGTAGATGTAGGCTACCTGGTTGGGGTCCGCGAGACGTATGTCACCAATGGTTAGAAACCTCGAATGAAACGGCTCCGAACCGTTTGCAATGGCGCATGTGCATCCACTCTTTGTGTTCTCTCAAATTCTAACCTTCTGAATTCCTCATCATCTCTATCTATTCCTAAAGTTATCTCACTGAATTATACTTCTTGAATAATATCTTCGCTCCCTAATCTTCTCCATTACTGTTAATACTGCTACTATCGCTAGCACTATTGAATTTGAACTGACAGTAGCGTCTGTGTGCTGATGCGGTATGGCAACTTGAACTGATGTACTCATGTACAATTTTGGATTTTATTCATGGGCTGATCAGTTGACCTTGAAATCACATTTCCCACCAGGAAGATGGGAAGATGGCTGTGATTGGTCGGTGTGTCATTTTAATGTGCTATTTTTGTGACTCTCCCAAGGACGTTACTATGATGTATAAAATAAACGTGATTTGTGTGCTTGAATTCAATGTTTGCTGGCTGGGTGTTTATAGAATACACTTTTTTCTACTCTATATCAGGACTTTCGGGTCAACGGATCAGAGTAGCCTACTGTGTCACTGATTCATTGTCTCGTTCTCGTTTATCGACTAAGATGAACCCATAATAGTTTCAAGTATATCAAGTGACGAGCATAACAAAAATGCAAGATTATATTATCACGCATTGATATGATAAATTATCTGTATCATTTAGTCAATACTTGTATTTCTTCAGAAGTGTTATATGAAACTTTATAAATTCACTCAAATTTCTGTACATAAGTAACCTACCTGCTGTTGTACTCCCCCTATATACTCATATTTTTGGAGGGTTTAACCAAGAGTTATAAAATCTTACAAGATAAGTAAAATAAATGATCGATAAGTTTAATAACTTTACTCCTTATCAATTAGTTAATCCTTAGGTTCGAATCCAACTCCACTTCATTCGAGTTAGTGGTTGTGTAAATTTTGTTGTTGATGACTACACGTATAGTACAATAGGTAGGTATCAATTGTGATCATCTTAAAAAGGTTAAGTATACAGATTGCTCTCTCTCTCTCTGTCTCTCACCCTCCCTTCCTCTTTGTTTTTGAATATAAACGAGTTACATTGTGTTATGATGATTATGATTTATATTGTTCACATTAGTAAAATACAAATCATGTTTTGATTCCATTCAACGCATATCAAGATTACAATTAAATTAAATTAAATTGCATTCAAATGATTTGTATGTTTTGTAATGTGAAGGAAGATTCTAGAATGTTGTACATGTGTTTATTTTGTTTGATTCATACGCGGAGGTTGTTAGTATAAATAAATAAATAATGAGGCAATTAATTTATCTAGTTTTATTTTTTTTATTGAAGAGTTTATTGTGTTTTATTCCTTTTTTCTTCTTAATGTGAACATTATGAAAGTATGGAATGGAATTGAACATAGTTTTATTATATAAATTAACCCTCTATATATATATATATATATATATATATATATATATAGTGATTATTTCCGATCCATGATCGCGTCAATCAGTATACACAGCATGAATAGACCAATTCGATTCATCCCTCCTACATGACTGTTAAACGTATTATTATTAGCAATGGTGATATGCAATACAGCACTGCAATAACAATGGCCCTCGGAAATGTTGCAAAACAATACTATCAGTATTATTGAAATCGGTCACCATGCTAACCAAATTTGCATATTGATTATTAGCAATACTTTCCAAAGCAATGTCAAGCTATATGCAATGTTCAGCACAGCGAACCTCTAGTCTCATAGGAAACCTTCAGCTCTGTATAACAATTATAGCATATGGTATAGCACATAGTATGGCATAGGTTAGCACTAGATGCACCCCAGCTTGATACAAATGGGCTCAAACACTTTTATTACCGTTTTTCTCATGTCGGATAATGATCTTTTTGCAAAACTGAAATTTTCACCTTTCCACCATTGTAGGATTTAATAATTTGTCCTACAGATGTAATTCTAGAACGGTAAACGCAATATTGACGAGCACAGAGTCTATGGGAAAGCTATAGTTAGAAGAAGATCAACTTTGCTTTAAACTTTATCTATTTCTAAACATAAAAACAATTAAATTAGTACAATAAATAAGGAAATTACAATTATTAAGTAAGGCGGGCAAACATACCGACCAATACAGCGTGTCTTTGGAAATGAATAAAACTATGAGTCACATCAATATCATAAGATAATAACGTCCTTCAATTAATAGGTCATTTACAACAAAGAAAGTTTACAGTCATGTCAGATCAGATCACGTGGTGGGCGCTTAAACCACAATTTGATTGGTTAGTGATGACATAACTACAATTAGTTATGAAAATAACTAGCAACCATATGAGACCTGAGTTAGGGGTAGTATAACCTGAACATAGTTTTATGTTAAATAATTAGTTCATTGATAATGCAGGATTTTCAATACAAATGTCAAGATAGTTCTACTGTATGGAGCGGAAACTTGGAGAACTACGAAAGGCATCACCCAGAAGATACAAGTGTTTATTAACAGCTGTCTACGCAAAATACTTCGGATTCGTTGGCCAGACACCATCAGCAATAACGTACTGTGGGAGAGAACAAACCAGATTCGAGTGGAGGAGGAAATTAGGAAGAAGCGGTGGAATTGAATAGGACACACATTGCGAAAAGCACCAAACTGCGTCACAAGACAAGCCCTCACTTGGAACCCTCAAGGTAAAATGAAAAGAAGAAGGCCAAAGAACACATTACTCTGAGAAATAGAGAAAGACATGAGAAAAATGAACAAAAATCAGAAAGAACTAGAAAGGGAAGGCCGGAACAGATTAGGTTGGAGAAAAATGATGAGCAGCCTATGCTCCATCGTGGGTAACAGGCGTAAGTAAGTAAGTAATAAATGGCATATGATCTTGTTGTTGATCAATGACTATTATGGGATACCATCTCCTGACATTGTTCCACTGCCTTCTGGATCAGACCTCTGAGTCAAAGTCTCAAGGATTAACCTACCAAGAAAATTACCTGCTTATCACTTGAACTAGTGATAGAGAGTGAAATAGTCGAACGTGTAGACCGCTTCACTTATCTGGGGATCCCCATCAGTGCCGATGGCCGGGTGACTGACGAAATCTCAGCACGGATACAGAAAGCTCGATTGGCTTTTGCCAACTTGCATCACTCATGGCGTAGGCGAGATATCCGTTTGCTAACCAAAGGTCGAGTGTACTGTGTAGCAGTTCGCTCCGTCCTACTATACGGATGCGAAAAATGGTCGGTGAGAGTAGAGGACATTCGTAGACATCAGTAGGTAATTAGTGTCCGACCATGGATGTCTTCGAAGAATTACTCGTTTATCCTGGGACAATCGAGTGAGCAATGCTGTCATTAGGAAACGAGTACTAGGTAGGGATGACAAATCAATAGATGAAGTATTTGAAACTTCATCAGTTGAGGTGGTTGGGACATCTGTTACGCATTGTTAACCACCGACTGCCTCGACGAGCTATGTTTTGTGGTGTAGGGGTAGGTTGGAAGAAATCTAGAGGCGGCCTAACCAAAACATGCTACAAATCCATGAAGTCACTGACAAGTGGACTGAGTCATGTTGGTAGGTGTAGGCTACCTGGTTGGGGTCGGCGAGATGAAAATAATCGATGGTTAGAGACCTTGAATTACATGGCTCAAACTCGTTTGCAATGTTGCAGGTGCATCCACTCTTTATGTTATCTCAAATCCTAATCTTCTGGATTTGTCAACACCTCTACCTTTGTCTTTCTAAACTTATCTCACTGAATTATACTTCTCGAATCATATCTTCAAACTCTAATCTTTTCCATTAATTTTAATACTTCTACTATGTCTACCACTAGTAGATTTGAATTGACAGTTGCGTCAGTGTGCTAATGCGGTATGGCAAACTGAACTGATGTACGTATGTACGAAGTTCTGTTTTGCATCTGCCTGTCTGTCTGTTTAGAAACCGAATTCAATAGTTTATATGGTGCCTAAGTATTTAGCAATGTTATTTGGTTTAAATAAATAATGTTCATATCACTAATGGAAATTAATCATTTTTGTAAAATATTAAAAATTTCCACTTCATACAAGTCAGTAGACAGAGATTTAATTAAAACTCTCAAATTGTTCAAATGTCCCCATTGAATATTCAACATCCATGAACTTTACTTTCTTGAATAATAAAATCTAGTCATCCTGTGGTGCGAGGTACTTATAAGTAGTATATGACGTGAGCGTCAACGTAATGTCTGGCAGCAGAAGATGGGGGAAGATCAAGAAAGGAAGAGTTAGAAGAACACAATGGAATTTGTATGAAACACATGAATAGTGACAATGGATTGATGTTTTGCAAACAGGAACAGTCCAGTTCGATATGATGAACTGATATTTTGCAAATTAACAATTTACGATATGGTTTTCCAATTTTACTGAGTAACTCTGTAATTTTCGTTAAATACAATCCGGTCGCCCTCACCTGTGTTCTCCTTCACTGCAATCCTATCTATATGATAACTTTGAAACTTTTATTTAAACATTAATGATGGCAATAAAGTATTGCCAATTTCAAATTAAACAATACTTCAAATAATAATAATAATATTCATATTCATATTAAAAATTGACATGATATTTGATAAGATAAATTGTCAATCAAGTCATGTCTCTAAAATTCGCTTATTTTTATTTTGTCTATGTTAATTGATATGTATATCTCTATATGTGTGCAAACGACAAATACACACACACACACACGCAGAACCATAGTACACACCTACTTTCTACATATATATATATATATATATATATATATATATATTGTCAGTTAATTAGAACAATTTTAATGGATACCTCTAATTAGCAAAAACTTTTTTTTCTATTCATGATTAGCCTTGTCATTGTGCTTTTTTTCGTACTTACAAACTACAGTAATAGTAGAATACCAATACTCTATGATGATGATGACGATGATGATATTGTCACATGAATGCGTATATGCAAATCAATATTTGATTTTGACGTTTGTTTACTTTTTTTCTTCAACTCTTACTCTAGTAAACAGATTGAATAATATAAGCTGTCAAGAGCATCATAATTCCTTTAGAATAGATCTTCTTGTGTGTGTATGTGTGTGTGTGTACGTGCATATGTGCGTACATCATTTGAAAAGTAACTCTCTCTCTTTAAGTATGTATGAGGTAGTTAGTTAGTTAGTTAATTTACGTCTAATTTCAAAACTACTCTAATAAAATAATATCCATAATATGACTCAAAATTGTTTGCAATAGCTCACGTGCATTCACTCAAAATCTGATTTTCTAAATTTCTTGTCAGTTTTATTTATCGCTTTTTAAATCTATCTCACTTGATGATACTTATTGAATAATATCTTTGAAACCTAATCTTTTCTATTACCTCTGATACTTCTACTACCTATACTATTATTGGATTTGAATTGACAATTCGCTCTGTCTGTACTAATGTGGTGGTATAACAACTTTGACTGATGTACCTACAGACTGGGGTACCAAGTTCTAGTTTGTTCCTGACTGACGATAACAACAATATCCGCTGTCTACCTCACAGGACTAGAACTCAGCATGAGAATACTACTGAAACTCAATAAGCTCATCAGTACGTAAATTTGAATATTTGAGCATTTAGTAAAAAGAGTTTAATTTACACGTCATATTCACAAAACCTGGATGTCTTAGATTTGATCGCTGACCTTGCCATAGGTCCGTATGACTAAAAAAATTCCACAAATCACGAAGACAAAAAAGCTGTCTGATTGATTTCAACGGCACACGGGTTAAAACTGTTTCTCACTCACTCACAAATGAGTGGGATAATTCACTGACATCTAACTATCCTCGCTTGTAACAACTATCGTTATTACTAAACTTCACTACAAATTAGGCAGATAAAACTTAAATTACCATCATTTGTTTGACCTAGAATCAATCAGTCGGCTACAACGTAGAACTTCGTACGTGCGTACATTAATTCAAGTCGCCATTCCACATGAACACACAGAGAGATTGAACTGTCAATTCAAGAAATGTCCTAAGAGACGAATGTATATCATTGGTCAAGATATGGAATAATTTGCTTAGGACCAGAAATTTACGCATCTAACTGAGTATTTATGTCTAGGTTTCGGTAGCCAGATGGACTTACCTTCTTGTTCAATTATTCGGCTTTATGGATTAGTATGTATCACATTCAAGTCTGGAACCCCGTACATCATAACAAATACATTTAGAATCTGAGCTTAACAGTTGTATATTACTAAAAAATATCCAACTTGTGATTTCGTAATCTAGAAGTCGGTCAAGATATTCATGATTAACTGAATAAAAACCAGGTATACAGTACTCGTTCATCTATTTTAACTGCCTTCAGGATTCAATTGTCAAGGGAAATAGACTAGCTTGCACCATATTGTTTCTTCACATATATGATCAATGAGAAGAATGTGAATTAAACGCTACAACAATCTAAAAAAAATATACAAATTTTTCTTGATAAACAAATATCTCTCTTTCTCAACAGAAAAACGAAAATACAAACTATATTGATAAGGGTCATTCGTAACGTAAAAATGTTTGAATACACACTGAGTTACTTAATATTTGTAAGTAGTATAGTTCAACACAGTAAAGATTAAAATAGTTGTAGTTTATGAGTAAAATTTTGATATTGAACATACTAGAACGTCTCATTAGCATCAAACAGTATTCTTTTTTCTACATTTTTTTTTCTGACAGAATCATAGCAAACATTAAAGTTTAGTTTCAAATGCATCGAAATGGAGAGAACAGTATTTCAGTAGGTGTGTATGTGTGTGTGTGTGTGTATTTACCTACATTGCTACTTGTCACAGTACAGTATATAAATGTGTAAATTACTATTTGATGCATTTCAGTACAGTTTATAATAGTTTCCCAAAAACAGATTACTATTATTCACAAAAATGCTACTTAAAACTAGAGCTAAAAGTTAGAAAAGCAAATTTCACAAGGATCAATGTGATGTGAAGAATTCTTCGATCAACTAATGTTGGTATTTAAAAATGTGTAAAAGATTTTTGAATTACCATTGCATAAATTCTAGACTTTATTACCATTTCTAGTGTGTTTTAAAAAGAGCTACTCCAGAGTCACAAGATCATATATAACAACCTTATAAGTACACAACACTCTTATCTTCTGTACTTTCAAAATAATGCTCTTTTTTATAGATCATGCTTTTTGCTTGAATTTCTTGAGTACAAAATTTGTTGTGTCTATGTTTGACGCTATGTATGCAACCACAAAATCCAAGGTATAAAGTAGTAGACTACTAATTGACTATAAGTAGTATAATGGAACATAGAGTTAAAAATAAAGCTAAATCACTTATTCTTATAAACAATTTTATCTAATCATGCAATCCCTCTAATCCATATATATATGTCAATTTCCTCTTCTATGTAATTCAAGGTTAGTGGTGGTCAAACGACACCAGCTGTACAACCTCCAGAAGTAGCTAAAGGTGTCCAATCAATATTTGATGGTACTAAATTAGATGTATACAGTGCTGGTGTAACACTTTATTTTATGCTTACTGGTCATGTACCATTTTCATGTCAAAATGTACTACAAATATTTGAAGCAATTGTTAAAGGTGATTATACAATACCAGGACATGTATCAGCTAATGCTTCAGATTTAATTCGAAAAATGATGCATAAAGATCCTAAAGTAAGTGTGTATATTTATTTCTTATTTTATGTCCTTATTCTTTGATAGATTTATTGATGTTTCATGTTCTTTTACTACTATCTAACCAGTCATTCAGCTACAACATAGAACTTGGTACGTACGCAAGTACATCAGTCTAAGTTACCATGATATATTAGCATACAGATGGAATTGTCAATTCAAATCTCACAGTAGCAGAACTAATAGAGGTAATGGAGAAAGAAGTATAGGACTCAAAGATATAATTTGAAAAATAAAATCCAGTGAAGTAAATTTAAGAATGGGTCCTGAGCTCATGAGGGGGGTGTGCGAGAAAAGAAGGAATGTATGCATATGTGCCATGGCGAGTGATTTTCAGCCATGACATCGAAGTCCCTAACCATCGGTTAAGATTGTCTCACGCACCCCAACCTGGTAGTCTACACCTACCTACATGGCTCAATCCAGTTTTCAGTGACTTCATGGACTTGTGTCATGTTTTGGCTTGGCCACCGCTGACTTCCGGCCTACCCCTACATCACAAACACAGTTCGTCGAGGCAGTCGGTGGTTGGGTATATGTAACACAAGTACCAACCACCTCAATTGACGAAGTTTTAATACTTTATCAACTGATTTGCCTTCCTTAAATTTTCCACTTTCCCTAATCTCAGCGTTGCTTACTCGGTAGTCCCAGGATATACGAGCAATACTTCAAAGACACCTATGATCGAATACTAAAAGCCTACGAATATCCTCTACTCTAAATGACCATGTTTTACACCCCATATAGTAAGATGGAGCTAACTGCTACACAGTAGATTTGTTCTTTGGTTAGCAGATAGATATCTTTCCTACGCTATAAGTAACGAAGGTTGGCAAAAGTCAATTGAGCCTTCTATAGCCGTGCTGAGATCTTGTCAGACACCAGGCCATCAGGACCGATGTGACTCCTAAGATAAGTGTAGTAGTCAGCTCTCTCAACTACTTCACTCCCTATCACTAGTTCAGATGCCGAACTACTATCTAGTCTTCCTCAGGCTAAGACCATTCACTTGAATTTTTCCAAATCAGAACGAGTATGTTTCAATAGCTGGGACAATAAAAATTCTGTAGTAAAAACACTAGGATTTGTACCGAATTTTTTTATAAAGCTTATCTTACTAACTTTTTCCAATCGGTTTTGATTAGCTAAAAACAGACTAATCAATGTGTTCCTTCATAAATTTAATCAGAATATGTAATATTCGTAAACATTGTACATTTTGATTCATAGTAGATTTTGTAGTGAAATAACATTGTTTGTTTAATCCATTCAAAGTGCCAGTAAATTTTCTTATCCAAACATAAACATTAGTATAAAGGATTACATAAAAATATTTTCTGTGCCACAAAAATCATTGAATTTATGAAAGAGTTGGAATACTGTACAAGTTTTCAAACTGTGAGACAAATAGTTTTCGTAGGAGGTTACTCTTTCAAGCCTTTGACCCATAAATTTAATCCATAAAGCAATGAAGCAACTTCATGAGATGCTGGCCCCCATGTTAGTTGGTTCATATGCCATTTAATCTCTCAGTATCCTAGAGTCTATGTGTACTTTTGTTAGACCTAATTAAACTTCACCTCATTGCAAAGATCAGTGTCTATATGGAATCAGTAGCTCAATGGTGGATAACGCGAACGTATTTTATATGGACAGTATTGGGTTTGAGTTTCGGAGTGAACATCAACTTTGGGATGTGTTACAATGACATGCAGCTACAGACGAGTTTTACGTAAAACGAAACACGCGTCCTGGATAGCTACCGTTAACCACTGTTCTTCCTCTGTTCATAATCTTTCCTTTTCATTCGTGTATATAGTTACTTTCTGATATGACTTTTGTTAGCTGATCAAATTAATTGACTTGAATAGGTTTCTTTGATCATTTCTTTTTGTTGACCAAAAGGATGGTTGTACCATTTGTATAGTCAAGTTTTAAAATATTATCAATACCAAAATGGTGAGATAAAGTGAGAAATCCACCACTCCTCTTTCTAAGCTTACCATTTATCTTTGAACAAGTTCAAAATAAGATTATTGTGTCTTTGAACCAACATGTATATATAGAAAGATGGCTTTCAAGTTGGTTTAAAAGCTTTTTAGACTCCTCAGTGGTGTACATTCGTCATCCTTCACCCGACAATCGAACCCAAGAATGGATGGGTTTTGCAAGATATCGTGAATTTACTGAAGTCAGATATGTACATTAATTGATCCCGGTTTAGTGTTGCAGAGATTGAAGGTCAATCTGCAAAACCGAAGGCCTTGGTTCGACTCTTTGTGTCGTGGTTATGAATTCGCAGCGCTGAATAACTCCATACTAGAGTGGTGGATACTACTCGCAATGTGACATGAGTATTATGCATTAGAGTTTCACCCTGAAGTTAAAACTGGAGAGAAGAGTATCAGATCCGAATGTATGGCGCTATAAAAGTGTTTTGTAGACTAGAAGATATGTCAGAGAAAACACCCAATAATCGATCAGCTTACTTTGTAAATGAAAATCTAGAGATAGAGCGTACATATTTTGCTAGCAAACTGCGTTCTGTTTAAAAACACCACTTACTCCATCTTTTATTAACATCTTCATAAATTACACGAGTATTGGCTTAGAAATAAAATGGGTATATGTATTTTTCAAATGTATAGATGAATACCTTAACAGTTGGTTCGTGGTTTATAAATATCAAAAACCACTTAGTTGCCTTCATAAATGATGGTCACTAGTATAATTAACCTTTCCACGTTCCCCTATTCTGAGCATCTTGTCAACTAAATATTGGTGAGTTTTATTCATCACCTACGTTGGCAATCAAACGATTCTGCACTTCATCCACGTCTTCATGAATTAGGACTGTATCCTAGAATGAAAAGAGAGTCCTTGTACTCAGAGGGTGAGGAGGGTCCGCTCTCCTCGTCTAAATACTTCCATAAGGCCATTGACAGGGAAATCCCCCTCACTGCTTTCTCTCAGTGGGGGCACTTTTTACCGAATTAAGAGAACGAAAGGCCCGATGTCCGACTGGGGCTTAAGCCAGGTTGGTGGTTACGAAAGATCCGTCTAGCATATTTGAAAAATCCTTATTTCAAACCAATGACATAGATGGGCTATATGATCCCCATGGAATGAATAGCGTACAAACCTATTATTGTTCACCGTCTGCTATGTGACTGCATCTCCTAACCTTGTCTTCTGGATAAGACATTTAGGTCAAAGGCTTTGGACGTGGCTGTTTAAGAGAACCGCCTACTTCAATTTCAATATCCGGACAACATTCATTCCCATACACAAATTCATTGATTGATATGGTACACATATAATTTAAGTGTCCTTTTGTACCAATGTTTATTTGTTTTTAAAATAAAAAGTAAATAAATGAAATTGAGACTGTTATGTCAATCAGCATTTCTGATTATATTAAATGATGGATGATTGGATATGTGTAACATTTTTTGATGAAAACTACTTTCATATAGATTTATCGACTCTCCTTTTCATTCATTCATTCATTCATTCATTTAAGTGTAAACTTTTTTTCGTTTAGTACAATTAATTATTGTTCGTACAATGAATTAATAAATTATATCAGTTCTTGTTCTTATTATCAGAATAAATATAGAGATTACCAGTTTATTATTTACAATTGTCCCCTATGAACAACTACTTTTGACTTGTGCACCTCGTTGTCCTAACG